GATATCGATTGATCGTGAAAGAAATGCATTAAAAGCGAAAAATCGAGGATAGTTTCGTGTGACATATGTCAAGGTCTGGGCTATTTTGGTCTCAATGTCTCCGTCCTTCCCTCGTTATAAGGAAGGCACAGGCGGGCGCGGGAAAATCGAGCCTGGGCCTCCTGTGGCGGAACGGGTGTGAATTCCGACGCAGAGGCTTGGTCGCACAGCATACATATTTCTACGGAAGCCCAGAAGTGTAATTGCTATTTCCTATTTCCGTGCTGAAAAAGTGGGTTCGCTGGCGGCTATTTGGTTCGCTCGCGGGCTATTACCTATTACCTATTACCGTGTTTGCTATTGCTGTGTTTGCTCGCGCACTATTTCCTATTACCTATTACCTATTACCGTGTTTGCTATTGCTGTGTTCGCTCGCGCGCTATTTTCTATTACCGAGTAAGGTTTTCGATTTTTTTTAGTCACAATATTCACTACTGTGTTGAAAGAGAAATATAGATATTAATCTTTCTTTGCTTTGACTAACGGTCAGTATAATCTGCAGACTGCAGACCAAGTACAAAATGCAGAATAGGTATAAATTGCAGACTGAAATTACAGACTTGATATAAAGACCCTATAAAATACAGACTGAGTGAAAAAACATATATTTTAATATGTCATACTGTCATGAAGTTCAAATTATTTACAACTTCGAGTTTTGCGGTTCATTGTAGATGCATGTTAATGTATAAGCTTTGATACTTTATATAAAAAGATTTAGAATGATTTTCAAGATATTTTAGTGAAAATTATTGCAAAATTTAAGCACAACAAAATCATAATGTTACTGCTATAGTCAGGCGTTAGCGGGTTTAATACACAATTTGTTTTTTCTCAAACTTCAAAGTCATTCACTACACAAATTTATTTTTGTGATGGTTTGTTGTTTCTTTTAGTTTGTGTATCTAGCTCATTTTAATTCAATATTCTTCTTTACTCTTTAGGTATTAAGTCTATTAAGTACGATTTAAAATGTCTTAATGTTGCTTATGTTTGCTATATTTAGCAGTTCCCACAACTCTCGTGACATAAAACTGACATTCGAGTCTTAGATTATATTTTGGTAAGTCGCATAATTTTGAAAACGGGTGTATATAACGTGTAGTTTTGTACGTTTTTTTTCACTCAGTCTGTATTTTATACCAAGGTCCAAGTCTGTAATTTAATTCAGTCTGCAATTTATACCTATTCTGCATTTTGTACTTGGTCTGCAGTCTGCAGATTATACTGACCGTTAGTCAAAGCAAGGAAAGATTAATATCTATATTTCTCTTTCAACACAGTGGTGAATATTGTGACTAAAAAAATCGAAAACCTTAGTTAAAACTGATTAAAATCCTACTATTTACAAATAAAAATTGAAAATTGGCGTTCTTATTTATAATTTAAACTAAGGTTTTAGATTTTTAGTAACAATATTAAGACTGTGTTGTAGAGAAATATAGACATTGATCTCGTCCAAAAGCACAAATTTATCGTAATCTTTCCTTGCTTCGACTAAAAGAGACTTTGATATATCGAGTCATTGATATACTATAATATTTATAGTAAATTTATACCGGAAATAGGAAACACAGCAATAGGAAACACGGTAATAGGTAATAGGAAATAGGGAACACAGCAATAGGAAACACGGTAATAAGTAATAGGAAATAGCCCGCCAGGGAACACAGCAATAGGAAACACGGTAATAGGTAATACAGAAATAGGAAACACGGTAATAGGTAATAGGAAATAGCCCGTCAGGGAACACAGCAATAGGAAACACGGTAATAGGTAATAGGAAATAGGGAACACAGCAATAGGAAACACGGTAATAGGAAATAGCGAAAAAAGTAGCTTTTGCAACCCACTTTTTCAACACGGAAATAGGTAATAGCAATTACACTTGACACAAAGACACTTACAATGACACAAAGATCAGTTCGAGAGCACTTGGCAGTCTTGCAGAAAAAGTACCAAAAGAAAATGAGACAGGAAGAGGAGGCAAGTGGTATCTCTCCAGAGAAAACAGAGCTTGGTATCCTACTTGAGGAGATTTATGTAGCCGAGCAGATTGGTGAAGAAGAGCAAGAAGAAGCAAGCCGAATGAATCAAGAAAAAACTGACCAGGAACAAGCAAGAGCAGATGATGTGAGACGGACTGCAATGGAAACATTCGCAGAAACTCAAGAACGAAATGGCGAAGAAAAGGAGAAAAAACCGAAAAGGAAACGAAGAAGTGGAGGAGAGATGGTGGATTATTTGAAGGAAAAACTCGAGAGTGAGCAAAAGGTGCGAAAAGAGGAAATGGAAGTCAAATACAAAATGTTAGAATTGGAGGAGAAGAAACACAGTGGAAACGTGGCGATGCAGAAGGATGCCAGCAAGCAACAAATGGAGATGCTACATGCAATGCAGGACCAGAACATCCAACAGCAGAAACAGCAGCAGCAGCAGCAGTTTCAACAACACATGCAACAAACTGCAAACTTGCAAATGATGCTCATGCAAAACCAGCAGGAACAGCAACGGGCAATGCTAGAATTTTTTAGTAAACTAACTAACAAGAACTGAACATTAGAAAACAACATTGCCAAAAAAACTTTCTAGATTCATATTTGATCTTTTATGCGACTATATGCAGGTATAGTGCCTGTTATGTACACTGTGTTTATTGCTTGAACATCATAGACATACAAGATGGGGAGGGGGAGGGTAGGTGGGGCAGTTGTCCCCCATATTGTTGGGCAGACAAGGCCTTGCATGTTGAGTTGTTGATATTTTTATCCACTTTGTCTTTGTGAAACAATGCATCATTTCATAAAAGTAACAATGTAACATGTTTACTATATCTTTACATACCTCAAAAAGTAGTCATTATATATAGTATAAATTGTTTACATCATGCAAAATTCAAATGTGAGCCATAATGTGAGTAATATACACCACTTATTATTTTCCAGTGGCAGACACAAATGGGGGGCAAATTTACACTAGTCTGCTAAAGCAATTATTCGGGCTTCAAGAAATTATTGCCCTCTTAGTTTCTGCCACTGAAACAACAAGACTATAATTACACATGGGATATAAAATCATGCAAAATACTCATTTAGAGCAGGTGGGTCTAATTCAAAATACATGGATGTAGTGTTTTTGTATAGACATGTTAAGGCATTCCTTAACAGAGCCCCAACTATATACATTTTGCCGACTTGGCTGAGTCTAATTTTCAAATTCTTTTTAAAGTCTAAAAATTTGAAATAATTTACAATATCACCGAATAGCCATTCCACTGACACCCGTACTTGACTCATGGAACGGTTGAAATCTTGCATTTCCTCGGTAATGCCTTCTCGACGAAAGGGTGCTTGAAGGTGCATCCGAAGTGGGTAGGCCGGGTCACCATAAATGCACATTGGTTCGCCTTGTCTGGAGAATGCAAATTGCCTCATGTTGTTGTACAGGCCAGACTCGCCAAGCATCCGTGCATCATGCATCTTCCCCTCTATTGAGAATATTGCACAAATGTTACATTATGTAAATGTTATTTACAGGTGATAGGGACACCATTTGATATATAAATCACTACCGTAGGTTGCAACTTTGTATTGCGGGGGGGGGGGGCTGATTAGTTAGGGTTGATTATTAGGTCATTATTTCCCTCTCAAACTTCACAGATTATCGTTAGTTTACAACGGCCCTGTTTCAAATACTTTGATAAAATTGTCAAGTACCAGCTTTAATATAGACACTGACATAGTACCTGCTGGAAAAAAATAAATTTTATGCCTTGGTTTACTAGAAACTTACCAACTGGTCCATATAAATTAGCAATAATTCCATTGGGCAAGGCCACAGATTGGAACTTTAGGGCGTGGACTCGTTTATGACCATTATATACGACTCTTTGTTTTTTTCCAGGTCTACAAATTTGTCTGACCGTCCCATCTACGAAACCAAAGCAGTTGGTAAGGGCTGCTCCTTTGTTCGATACGGCTGTAGCATATGTCTCAAGAGCTTCTGGGTGTAAAATCTGATGATTCCACTCTGTCAGACGATGGCCATGGATATAAAAAATTAAACTGATCATTTTATTATTAATCATAGCTAATTCAGGAACTGGTCTACCAAAGGTAGGAATCAGGTCAGAATACCTGCAAGGATAGGCAAACCTCTTGAGCAGAATGCACAAGGCTTCTTCTCGTCCACAAATAGTCCCTTGGTAACATTTTACAATATCTGGAATCCTTAGCGTATCCGCAAGTCCTGGTATATCATTCTTTTCCACTCTAAATTCAGTTTTGCATTCAACTTCGTCCTTTAACTCTAGGTCAAAGGCTGGATAGCTTGTGTACGGATACTCAGCATTCAGAGAAGTATATTGTTGGTACAACAGCAAAAACTCTTCTTCGTCCAATAAACCTTCGTCAAAACCATTAAGCAGCAAATCACGAACGGATTTGAAGGATGCCATTCACATATTTCACAGAAAAGTGCTGAAATTATAACAGTTTTCGGTTGCCGTTGTGCGTGGCGATGTCGAACATCTTAACATGGCGGATGTTTACAACACGACGGCGTTCTCTCCCCAGGCAATTCCCGGTTTCAGCGTTGCCGTTGCCGCCGGCGATGCGCAATCTTAAAGTCTCTAATGATAATATGGAGGGAACAAGCGATGCTGGAAGTAACACTTGCTTCTTATGGTCTCGTGTGAATAAACCATGTTCGTTTCGGTGAGTGGAAATATGTGGGTTAAGGGTTGGGTCGCGTTCTTGCTGCAATTGGAAATCATTTATGTCCAACCTTACATCCTTGCATATACCAATCTCGTCTTGAGAACCGCCAATAGTAGCCACTTTACTAGTATCCTAATCTCTCTCTTCCCATTTGACATTCCATCCGATCCGACTAAGAGCATCTGCCATGTGATTACCTGCCCTCGAATAATATGCGTGGTTCAAATTCTGCTATATCTCTCATCAATGTCGCTCTTCGTCCAAAAGGTCTTTCTGTTCCAGGATCTTTAGAAGAGGTTTGTGGTCGGTCCTCATCACTACTTGTGCTCCTAACAGATAATACCGAAAATGCTTAAGCATGTCCCGCATAGCCATCACTTCTCTGTCATAAGTTGGATATGAACGTTCTCGTTTGGTCAATGCACGACTGAAATATGCAACCGGATGTAATTGTCCTTGTGCATCTTCTTGTGATAGTTCATCACCCAGACCCACTTTACTTGCATCCGTGGTAACAACAAAGGGTTGAGTGGGGTCAGGATGTGCTAATACTGGAGCTTTAACCAACTCATGTCTTAGTGTATTGAATGCATCATCTTGCTCCTTACCCCCAAGAGAATGTGACATCTTTCTCCAAAAGCCATGTTAATGGTTGAGCAATTGTACTAAAATCCTTGATAAACTTCCGATACCATCCCACCGCTGCCACCACTGTAAATTTGTATATTGTATTAATCCCGAACACATGTACAATAACAATCCTAGTCTCGATAGTTAATAATTAAGCCCGAAGATCCATGCCTAATAGCCTGCAAGCAGACTTGTTATTTACGAGCATCTATTTATCAAAGTAACTAAATGTCAATATAACACAGTATCAACGTGCAATGTATACACATTTTAAAACTAGAAATTACTATCGCAAGGAAAGGGCTGCCTCACACCCTAGGGATCAAAGGCAGCATGCGCAATTTGATGAATAAGAGGCTGTTTAGTTTATATGATCCCGCTTTGCCAGGACGAGATATTTGGCGGGATGATTTGGATGTATTGAAATAAGTCACAGTGCACGATTCAGCAAAAAACGTCATTCAGTTTCTGGAGATAGATTATATCTAACTGTAAACGAAAACGAATGGTTCAAGCAGCAATAATAATCTTCTTGAACTACAAGATCTTCTCTACAGTTCTGTTAACCAGCATTCGAACAGCCCTAAAACGCCTGTGCTGCAAGTAGCAAAAGTGCAATTTGGATATCAAACACCTTGCAGGTTTGCACAAATTAAGTCAAAGTTCAGCTAAATAATCTAATTCTACTTTCTAAGTTTCTAGCTAGGCATGGGTAGCTTTATATGAATACCATCAATGCTTATAATTTCTTGCTTTTGTATGTATAATTCGTACTTGTCCAATATTACGATATGTAACGCATGGTAAAAGTGTTTTACAATCGGTGAATTCGATGCCAATATCTGGCTTACCCACCAACTGTAGTGTACAGAGAAACATGATATCATTTTCAGCAACATGGACGGTCTGGTATTATTTCTACCATCGGTACACTTTGTACGGTGTACCAATCTCTCTCGTTTCAGAAAGACAAACATTATATAATCAAAACAAATACATAGCGCGCAAATTACAACAAACACTATACAATAATTTATCGTCTTGCCTAGTTCTTTAAGAACCTTATTGTAAACGAATCACATAGCGCGCAAATTACAACAAACATCATACAATAATTTATAATATTGTATCAGGCGTTCTTCAAAAACCTAATTCAAAACGAATACATAGAGCGCAAATTACAACAAACATACAAAAATTTATAGTATTGACTTTATTTTGATTCAACGTAATAGCCAATATACTATATAATTAGAAGTTGCTATCGCAAGGAAAGTGCTGCCTCATCCCCAAGGGAAGGCAGCATGCGCAATTTGCTGAATAAGGGGCTGTTTATACGATCCCGCTTTGCCAGGACGAGATATGAAGCGGGATGATTTCGATGTACTGAAATGAGTCACAGTGCACAATATAGCAAAAAAACATTTTCTAGAGATAGATTATAAAGTTAACTGTAAACGAAAGGTTGTTCAAGCAGCAATATTTAGCAATAATAAATCTTCTTGCACTACAAGATCTTCTCTACAATATTTGAGTTTTGTTAACAAGCATTTGAACTTTTGTTTAGCCTAGCATTTTAGCTTTTGTTTAGGAGGCAGGTAGGAAAAGTTCATTTGAATATCAAACACCTTGCACAAGGTCGAAGGTCAGCTAAATATTGTAATTCTACTTTCTTGGCATGGGCAGTGTGTATGAATACATTCGATGCTTATAACTTCTTGCTTTTGTACAGCCAATTGCAGTTGAGCTTGCAGCTTGCATTTTAAACGCGTTGTTATATCGTTGAAAAGTATGCGTTCATTCCTTAGAAACACGCCGTTGCTAGGGGCGTAACGTGAACTTTTGGCGGGCATTGTTGAACTTCTTAACGGCGTGCAAACAAACGTATAACGAGTTAAATATATTGTAAAAACGCCGCTTAAGCCTGCGACGGAACAGTAAGGTATTTTTAGAGTGCCTGCAGTCAAATTAGAACTCCCTGGTCGGTTTTGTGACAAAATCTAATTTAATGTGACAAAATCTAATTTAATTCGTCAACGCCAAGAATAGAAAAACATGTTTACGTCGTTACAACGCGCGCCAAAAGTTCACGTTACGCCCCTAGCAACGGCGTGTTTCCAAGGAATGAACGCATACTTTTCAACGATGCAACAACGCGTTTAAAATGCAAGCTGCAAGCTCAACTGCAATTGGCTGTATGTATAATTATAACACTGTCAGTCGTGAAGCTAGCCATAGCAACAGGTCATGTTATGCAAGCTTTTAATTAATTGCATTATTCAAATATATGCAGATTTATTGGCGTGCCATGACCAGTTGCCATTGTAGCTATAGCTTGCCACTAAATACTGTACAAAATCATATTATATATAAACGATAATACTTGCATGAATGAATCATTGGACATGTAGAATTTAATAACAATTTCATATATAGAAACATTAAGTCAGTTTTTGTCCAATTATCGTTTTAATGCAATCATGGCACCTTCAAGGCTGCAAAACAACTGAACATCTGCTGATGCTTGATGGGGAGACAACATCTATTTGTTGACAATTTTGTTTCATACGTCAGCTTCCGATGACACCATTCATTTGTAATGATTAAGATTGTACTCAGTCAGAACTGCAAAACTATATAATAAAAGAAATTGTGAGCATTATCAAAAAATATAGTATACCATTTATGCATCAGTCAAATCCAAGCGTGCCCATCCCCCCGGGGCATTTTCCTGTAAAGCACGCCCCGGGGGTTAGGCATTTGAACTCAAACCTTTGCCCGGGGGGGGTGAATTTGAAATTAAGGATTTGGAGGTTTTATGACACCAATAACTTCATAATAATAATAAATAATAAACCAAGTTGTTGTTTAAAAACGCATGAATTTAAACCATGCCGCAAACATTAAAAATCTGAATGTGCTAGAGCATGACAACAGCAAAACGCGCTAGAGTATGATGCACAATACTTGATATATTAACAGAGGGCATTCTCTCAAAACGTCGAAGAATGTATTCTCTTTATTTTCAGGTAGTTGGATAACCTACTCTCCTTAGCCAAACAGTCCAGTTGTCCCCAGGGTGGGGGACTTGCTACTGATTTTTTGCCCTGCCACGTTTTTTTATCCCCGACCCTGGGAATTTGTCACATATTTTCGAAAATTGTCAAAAGTCTGGGGGTTGGCCCTGGGGGGGGATGGGTATGTTTGGATTTGACTGATACATTAGTACAGTAGTGCATGACAGCCAGGTCAATATATAAATGTAGGCTGGTACTTGTTTATATGAAGACTTGTATGCACAAAGTCAAAGATATTCCTATAGCAACACAGTGTGGATTGTTATCTGCATATATTAACTTCATACCACCATTTAATGTAATAACATGTCAACCGACTGTTGTAACAAAGTGAAAGATATAGTCCTATAGCAACACAGTGTGGATTGTTGTCTGCATATATTAACTTCATACCACCATTTAATGTAATAACATGTCAACCGACTTTTGTAAAAGGTATGACGGTCTGTAAAAATATATCTCTGAGATATGTCCATTGTTAACATATAAATATGAAATAATACTGACAGAACATCGTACGATTGGAACATAGTTACACACAATTGTATATACACTGTTATTTGTGATCAAACGTTCATCATCTTACCTTGAAAAATATTTCGATAAACAGCCAGACATAAAATTTGCGGCAAGCCAGCTACAAAACTACACTAGGCAACGAGGCTGTCGAGGCATACATGTAACATGTTTACAATTTGTCATGGTCCATGGTCTCTCTCTCCTCCGCAGAGGCTTTTGAAGAATATGAAATTCGAACGAATTGAAATTGCGCTAGAGTGACTGGTATCTGGTATGAAGTTTTTCTAGCGCAATTTCAATTCCTTCGAATTCATATTCTTGAAAAGCCTCTGCGGAGGAGAGAGGTCCACGGTAGTGTTCGTGAGGTGCAACAAGGGTATTCGGAAAGTCAAATCGCGATCTGGTGTATGTCATTTTTTTAAATTCCTGTGACGTCAAAATACGTCATAAATCTGATCATCCGTACAAACATCCGTACATGCACAAAATCGAGTTGTCGTTCGGCTATACATAACTCGGCCAAAGAGACTGGGCACACGTAAACGCAATACTTCATGTTAAGAATAGTGTGCTGCCTTCGGCAGCAATTATACACTATATGCAGCCTCGTACCCAGGCTCTTTCGTAATTAATGGCGTTCAGAGCTCTGGTCTGAACGCCATTAATTACGAAAGAACCTGGGTACGAGGCTGCACTATATGCACTCACGCAGATACTGCATACATATAGGCTATAGTATAGACTCGAGTATACACTATATATTTATAACATATAATAATAATGGACATATCTCAAAGTACATTGCTATAAACATCTATAGAATGAACACTATAAACTCATCGCCACACAAACAAACTGAAAGTATTCATTTTGACTCCTTGTATAAGTGTATCAGTGGGCTATTAAAACTGCTGATAAATTCATGAAATCATATTGTTTCAAATTTTCAAAACATCTATATCGAACACTAAACAGCAGATCTAAATATAAATGCCTTCAAGTACATCGCCAGAGAGAAATAAAACCTATCCTTACCTGAATTATTCAAAATATTGTCGATCGTTTGCATCGTGAAAATCCCAATATACTGCATGTAAACCAGTCACCTTATACTGGGAAAACACGCTGCTTACTGCTTGGAGACCACCAAATTACATCGCTAATGCGGTGTTTTCCAGTTCCGACACAGTTATTCGATTCTACTCGAATTGGTTTCGTAAAATCCCCGTGTATGCCATTTTGTAACTGGTACGTCATTTTACGTCACAAATTCGCCAACATCACGACACAAAATCCCGCCTGAATGCAATATATACATCCGACCGGGAGACTGGGACGAAATTAGTGTGCCGCCTCGCTTCGCTCGGCAGCAATTAAAGTGCGTATTTTCAGTCTCAACAATCGGTTTTACACAATCGGAAATCGAGATAATTCTCCGATATGGCAAAAATCGGCCCGATCGGACTGAAACAGTGATACCGATATCGGTCAATAGACAATCACCACACATTAAAACTCAAGTATCTAAGTTTAGACTTAGAGAATTAGTTTATTAAATTAAGGACAAATTAAAATATTATAGTTAAGGTAAATAGATAGAATATTTACATTTTTACAATAGTTAAAACAATATATTACTACGCGACAAATATGTCTTCTGTTGAAAGCATGAATATTTACAACACTTACAGTAAAATACCATATCGAATTATAGGCAACGTACGAACACACTAACTGGTAAACGAAACGTTAGGAAGTTTCGCATCGACAAAGTAATTGAATGCATAAGTTTTCAGTACTAGTTTAACTTCTGTGTTATTGGACCTAACAAAAAAATCCCGTGGTTGCAGTTTCTTATTCTGAAAAAAACAACTAAAGTAGGCAGGTTGGAAAATAACTTTCTCAAATTTTTTGTCTGACATTGGTCAGCATTGGCCATGAGTGTGATAGGTTGGCATTACCACCACAGTCAAGACATGATGATCTGGAAGCCGGCAAACTTCAAAGCTACAAAACAGCTCGAAGGCCTTGGTTTGCAGACCATCATATTATCTTGATAGACTATGTTGCCACACCAGATAACATTTCAAGAAGCAATAACTGTGGGCAACGGACGCCATTTTCACCATCAGGTTTGACCATAAAGTAGCAACGAAAAAAATAGGGCCAGCAGGTAGGCAAACAGCCCAACCACATCCAAAAAAGTCATCAGGGTAAGCAGAAAAAATAGGGTGGGTCAGGAAACCGGAACCACAGAAAGAAAAGCTGAGACTAGAAGAATTAGAATAGGCATATCAAATTATTCTTGAACCGTCTGTGCCAGTGTGGGTAGTGCAAATAATATGAACAAGCTTTCGTTGGTATAGGGATGCAATTACCTGAAATATATAAGGAGAATTCCGATAACTCCAGACGAAGGGCCTTCGCTCGAAACATCGAAATTCTCCTTATATTTTTCAGGTAGTTGCATCCCTACCAACGAAAGCTTGTTGATATCAAATTATTCAACTGTCCAATCACCATTTGAAGATGCAAAAAGTTGCTCAAAGAACAATTTCCTCACGGTTGATTCGATTTGAATTACAAAATATATGCCGTCGTTCAGAGTACCTTTCTTTATGTTGCTTTACAAAGCTAGAACATAAAATATGGTGGTACAAAAAATACTTAATGACAGTTCTATTGTAGATACAGTTTAAGTGAAATACAAATAGTGATTGAACAGCAAAATACTCTTACATCCATATTCTAATTCTTTCAGTCTTAGGTACATGTTATGTACATATAACATCTGTAATTAATTTATACGGACACAGAACGCGTCAATTGTCACACTCCGAATGATTAAGACAACGTCATAAACAATGACTGTTTTTGGGCCACATAAAAAAAATAGTTGGTTAGCGTCCTTAGCTTTTGCCAAAACGTGGGCGGGCGGGTTTTTAACGCCTTGGTTTTAGGTCCGAAACTGGATGTTCTTGCGCAGTACAGATATTTTTTTATATATTTCAAAATATGATTCATACCGTCATACCGTTGACTACAGTCAACAGGAATACTACATATATTAGAGCCCGCTGATCAATAAAAGTTGGGGATTTTTTAAAAAATAAAAAAAAATCCTGAGCGGGGCCTTTTTTGTGGACGGGCGAGGACGCTAAGGCCAAAAAAAAATATGCGGGTTTCCGGTTTCCCGACCCTACCTAGCTTTTGGACGTCGAAATCCCGACCCTAAACTTTTTTATTGGATCATGCTTGTAAGTGTTTCCACTTAGAGGGAAAATTTTGTGGAAAATTGAAATTTGAGGCAATCTTCGGGAAATTTATCTTTGGATGTGGAAGCACTGACTAAACAAAATGGCGTCCGGTTGTTAGGAAAATTTAAAAAAAAGTTAAAAAAAAAAGTTAAAACCGACCTACCCTACCTAAGTTTTTATAAGAAGAAACCGGAAACCACATTTTTTTATTGGCCTAACCAACTATTTTTTTATGTGGCCTTAGTTCAATACCCTTCGCTCACCATCAGATGGCAATGTAGCTACAGCTTTATTCAACACTAAGAGAACATAAAAACGTTTTGGAGATTTTCGCTTTCGAAAATGAACGTTTCTTTCCGTTTGAATGAAACAAATTGCATCTAATTAAATTGCGTTTGCTGCAAAATGAAGTTGTACTTTTCTTTGAAATCAATGGTCTATATTTGAACACTTTATATTTTTTGGAACATAATACAAGTTCATCAATTTCAGGCAATACTGAAGTGACCCAATTAACTTTTCATCAGCAAGAACGTCTGATCTTGGAAGTTGGATCGCAATGCAATGTGGTCTATCCAGAGCCAATTTTTCAGCACATAATTATCTCCCTAAAGTTTTGAGCTTAAAATTTCTGGGGGTGTTTATCCAAGCCACTTCTATGTTCCCATTAGAATAAATTAGAAATTCCTAAAATCACATATGCTACAATAACTAGCTTTAGTACCCGACAGTCTGTGGGTATATATTACCATTACTATAACTATATACATTACCTACATTTGATATATGATTATCAAATTCGTTACCATAATAATGGGCTGACGAGTCCACTTCAACGGTTGTGCTAACTTCGTTGGGGTACCCTGTTTCAGGATGACCTACTGCTATCGACGTTACAAAGGTCGGGTCAACATATTTCAGACTATCAGGTGACGATGACGACATTATATCATCCCAGAATGCTTCTGAGTGCATTTCTTCCATAATTCCATTGCCAAATAGATCTTTGGCCGCATCGGCGGCAGCACAATGATCGTTGTGGTCTTTGGGTGGTGCTTTTGGACAATATTTGCTATCCATATCATCGTTGGAAATGTGGAATTCGTCTGCAAAAAATATGTCTCACATTGATTGGTTTGCACTGAATTTGATTGATTGGTTCACACTGATTGGTTTGCACTCAAAGAGATTAATAATTGAATGATTAAATAACCTGATTTTAACATATTTTCTGATAAATCTGCCCGAATTTTCTTGATTTTTCCTAGCATTTGTCCGAATTTCCATGGTTTTTCAGGAGGGGGGGGGGGCAGTTGCCCCCCTTTCTCCGTCTCGTACGCCTATGACTGTAGTACTGAATATTTTTGGCCGTTTTGTTGAATTTACCACTCTAAGTGAATGGTAATAACTAGGACAAACTATACATTTTCGGAATGCTTATAGAATATGGTTTATGAAAAAAATTGATTTTGAATATTATTACGGCATTCAGGGGGGACAGTTATGAAGGATGAATCATGAAATTACAGTGATTTTGGTAATTGCAAAAATTAAAAAAATATTTCAAAAAGTCTACAAATTGTCAAAAACTTGTTCATTTTGCAAGTGCTACAAAAAGGTAGTAGAATATACTGCAGAGGCATTTGTGACTTTTCAATCCATTGAAGTTTTCATTTTATAGAAATTTGACTTTTACGAATATTTGTACAAAAAACGGGAGGGTACAAAAGCTGGACCCCCCTCATCTGGATCCCGTTCAGGATCTCTCAGAATGTAAAATAAATTCAAAATAGTGATTAAAATAGATATTTGATATTTATAAGACGATTTTTGTAAATAATAGATTTTAATTGATGGAAGTAATTGGGCCAAGTTGCGAAGTAGTTTTTTTTGTGAAATAGTCTCCCTAGTTGCGAAGTAGTCTTTAGTTTTTAGGCAGGTCACCACTTTAATATATTAGAGCAAAAGAATTGTTTCGGCCATGTCAGGGTAGGGCATATTTTGAGTTAGGGATAGTGCATCATATTTAGCATTTTTGATTGTTGTCATCGTGGGTCCACTATCTCCTTGCAAGATGAAGTAATATCAAACTTATATGTGATCTATAAAGTGGATCACAGGCTCTTCAAACAAATTGAAATTTATAGCACCTTGTTTTTTAAAGTGAGGATAATTTTAGTTTTCACCGGATTTGTTAAAAACGTATTAATCCGTGGTAAGTGGAGAATCTTCTGATGAAGAGTATTAAAATCAGTGTGTGCGTCTCAGAGAAGCAATGAATATTAGACTTATAAGTTTGCTAAATACGCTAAAAATGATAAAATGCTAAATACGCAATATCCCTAGCTCAAAATATGCCGTACCCTGACACGACCGAAACTATTCTTTTGATCTAACAAGTAGTGACCTGCCTAACCTATGTCACAAAAGACTACTTCGCAACTAGGCCCAATTACTTCCATAAATTAAAATCTTAATCTATTATTTAAAAAAATCGTCTTATAAATATCAAATATCTATTTTAATCTCTATTTTATATTCTGAGAGGTCTTGAACGGGGTCCAGATGAGGGGGTCCAGCTTTTGTACCAGTGGCGGAAATCTTGGGGGGGGGGGGGGAGGGGAAAATTGATGAATTTTCGGAAATTTTGACCTAAAAGAGGGCTAAAAACAGTCTTTTCGAGTGCAAATGGGGGGTATGTCGGAAATTTGAAAGTTTTGTCGGAAATTTAGGAGGCTTTGCCACCCCCACCGGAAAAAGTGAATTTCCGCCACTGTTTTGTACCCTCCCAAAAAAAAAACCATGGCCATGGCGGCCATCTTGTAAAATGCAGTTGTATTTATCTAAATATCAATAAATATGGATGATATTCCTATGACTGTATAATTGTGCATGCAGGAATATTTGCGGATCCTAATATTAGACAGTTCATATTTTTTCTCTAGATACAAGTTCATCCTAACCATCATAACTGATTTCCTCTCCTGATTTTAGCTCAACGCCAAAAAGTGTGTGAAACTTTTCCGCCATATTAAATTTCGCATTAAGCACGAAATCTTAGTCAAACCCATCCATGTTAGTAACTTGTATTTTTCATTTTTATCACTGATTTTTATGAATCGCCATTACTATCCCAGTAATGCATTCATTACTATCCCAGTAATGCATTGCAGCCTTCAAAGTCTGATCCAGTTAACTGAATAACTGTATTACGTATAAAAGCATTTAATATAGAGTTCACTGATCTGATCTACCCGCAAAGGCGCAAACCTGCAGAAAATAAGGTGAAAGTGCAAGCGAGTTGGTTGTTTTGAGGTTGTGTACAACCCCATCTGTAGTTAGTAAGAAACTGAGAAATAATATAAAGCCTAGCTGTGTTTATTGCCGAATAATGTGCAATAAATTGTAATATATTGTAAAACACAGCTTCTTCCATTTTACGATTATGATGTCAATTAGAACCCTCCGGGAAACTTGAATTGCCCCGGGCAACCTCTCGGGGGCCCTGACACTCAGTCTACAACAATTTCAAAGGAATGTTGATAAGAGCATAGAAAGTCATTTCAACTTCTTGGTATTGACTAGTACAAGACCAATGACTTGGACACATTGCAGCAAGGCTGTCAGAAGCGGGGGAGGGGGGGGGGAGGGGCTTGAGCCCCCTAATCGTCTGGCGTTATAGACAGAGTAAAATACTAAAGTAGGGCCATCAGGTTGCATTGCCACTTAAAGGGTTAAGGAGTTACAATAAAAGTGTTTTATTAAATTGGGATGAGAAACAGAGAGAGTTGCATGCATGTTGCATGTCCACTTAAAAGGCCGGTCAGGTGTCCGCACATAGGGGTTCAACTGTATTACCAATAGAATGCCCTATAGAATTGCTCTATATAATATAATGGCAGCAAATTAGCATGTGATGTGTTAACTCAACCATGTATACTGTAGTGGTGCTTTTATAGAGGTTTGCAAATCAATTTTGGGCCAATTCTTCCAGGACTTTTGTCAGTCTTTTGAAACTGCATGATTACATGCATTCAAAGAGCATTAAAGTCTGATTAAATTTTAGCCATGCAAGTTTGCAACCTAGTGCAGTCACATGTGACAATAATTGAAACAGACCTCTCTCAGAGGCAGAACGGATAATTTACAGTAGATAAAACTTTTCAGTACCTGGTCGAGCCATGCTTGCCTTGATGGAATCAGCATGTTTCTTTTTCCATTTCTTAATCTCCTTAAACATTTGCTCTTTCTTCTCTGGCTTCAATGTCCACAGACATCCCTTTCGTTGTGAGGTGCCCTGAGGACGCTCTAACTTGCAGAATGCTTTATTCAGGGATAAGTTATGTCGCACTGAGTTCTAATATGAAAAGGAGATTATTATATATTAAAATATATTTGTCGCTACACTGTGATTCACGCTTCTTTCGAAGCGATCTTCAGGCGATTGAAGTTGATTCCAACTAGTGGAATCAGGGTGCATTGCCACTTAAGGGTTAAGGAGTTACAATAAAAGTGTTTTATTAAATTGGGATGAGAGACAGGGAGAGTTGCATGTGTCCACTTAAAAGGCCGGGATGAGAATATATATGTGATGATATATGTATATTGATGATATTTTTCTCAGTGATGATATTTTCCTCGGGGCATTAAGCCCCTCGGAAAATATCATCACTTCGGGAAATATTACGCCGAATCCCCCTCGCTCCGGGTCTATAAATGATATATATATATATATATATATATATATATATATATATATATATATATATATATATATATATATATATATATATATATATATATATTATATATATATATATATATATATATATATATATATATATATATATATATATATATAATATATATATTATATAAGTTTTATATAATATTAAACTACATTAATGCACCCTACTTTTATTATTTTGCACTGTCAACACTAACACATTAATTAATAGGTTAATTAATATTTCCATGTCCGAAAAATGTACAATACTTTATTTCACTCTGTCTAAACGACAGATAATTTTACTTGTCAATGGAGAGCACTGCATGGTGCTCAATGGATTAATTTTAGTTCTTGTGAATGCATTCAAGATCTATGTTCAAAGATTGTATAATTAACCCAATAAGTTGCAATGTACGTGGCATATAATTTGTCATTTTACTTAGTCTTTACATCAGACAATATCACTTGATCACAGTTGCTACTCTGCAATGAACCTAATGGGTTAATCCCTTACATGCAAGCCATGCACTCTGCTTTGTAAGTTTAGTCTTGTCAATGTGGGTTAACCAGACTATCTGTTAATGTGTTGATTCAGTTATAGCCCTTTACAGTATGTGGCAAATGTGCCCTAACGTGCCCAACTTTGCCATTTTATTCTGTCTAATGCCGGACAATGTTCCTCATCAGAGGAAAGGAGTGCTTGGCACTCTTTGACATAGGCCATGTAATCAAGAAAATTCTCAACATTTTTAGGAGCATAACATATTATCAAATATTTTGCATAAATTCTCAAATAAAGTGATAAAAGTTGACAAAGAAAATCTGCTGAAAATTGACAGTGTATTGTCTATCAATGGGTTGGGAATTGTTAAAAATTTTGCATTAAGTGTGAATGATCAGGTGCCGCAGTGATTGTTTAATAGTGCATTGTGCCAGTCGCACATCTGAGACTGGGGTTCGATTCTCAGCAATTATGTAATTTATGTCTGATTACAATTTCACCCTGAGTCACATGAGGGAAGATAGACTTGTTCCAAGTCAGTGTATTTCTCTGAGTGGGAATAATGACATAGCATATGCAGAGGACGGCGTGACACAGGGACTTGTCAACATCAGACCCAAAAGAAAGCCAAGTACACAATTATACAATTCCCAACAAATCTACCTGTTCCAAACTGAACAGGTAAATTTTGAGTATAATATAAATATGAACAAAATTACTTCTAAACCATGTAAAACTAAACAAAAACTGAACAAAAACAAATTAATCTAAACAGATTATGAAACTTAAAGATTTACTAAATAAATATTTAAAATGAGAAAACTAAACGAATTAGTCAGCATTTTTGGAGCTATCAAAATTATACTGTGTAGGTGGCGTGTTGATATTAAGTAGGCTGTGGCTATGTGGGCTAGCGAGTGTTAAAATCATCCAAATCAACTAGTGTGTAATTGATTAGATAGCAATGCCATTGAGCTAGCTTTGTAACCAAATTATAATGTATGTATCACTATACTCTCAATTTCTTCAACTAAATACGTTTTACAAAATAGTATGTTGTTTTCGAAAATAACCAGGCTATAAAGTAGACCAGGTTGAGGAAAAAATAACTTTGTTTGAAAGCTTAGAGTGGATTGAGGAAGGAGAGCAGAATTGATATTACAAGTTAGCACTAAACAAAGTAACCGTAAGTAATAAACTTTGTTGCCTCTGCCAGAGTTCCGGCACAGCCAGCTTAATATTTTGAAAGCCCTTCATTAATTACCTATCCTGTCCGATGTTGACAATTCCCTATTTCGATCATGCCGTCCTCTGTGCCGTCATCAGAGGTATTGGGGTTTGGAACAAGTGGAGGGAAGTCACTGGGGAACAGCACTTCCAGTTTAAATAAACACCACAGGTTTAAATTTTTCTCCAGGTACACATCATCAGATTTCCTCCCGAGTGATACTGGATCAATAAGGAGTGCTGAGCTCGTTACAGAACAGTTTAGAACTGATAGTAAGAGCTATCATGAAGTATAAATAAAGTTTCCCCCTGAAATAACATTGAACCAATGAAGTTTGGCCCTAAATACTGGACCTCAGCTGGGGAAGATGGTTTAGTAAGTATACAATTGTCAAGGTATCTATTTGAGTATAAATTAAAAGTTCTAGCTAGTCTTTAATTTTACTTTATATCATCTGTTGCCAGACAAAAGCTGGCCTTGGCAAAGATATTTTTTAATTTCCTCTTTGGAAATTAAAAATTTACTTAGCAAATGAACAATTCCTTTGTTAGACGACAAAGAAAAGGAAACTGCAATAAGAAAATAAATGCAAAAAAGGCAACTCTACAGGTTCCCACCTGTCAGATATATTATTCTGAATGCCTGCATAATTCTGAATAGCTTTTGCGAAACTAACCAAGCATAATTTACAAAATTTTCAAAATTTTCGACCGCTTAAAACTTCACTTCGAGAATATTTAAATTAAGTAACCCAGTCACATTTGACGAAAAGTGTTTTCCTATTATCGAAAGCAAAAGGTTTTAAAAATTATTTCTTTATTCATATTGTATTTAAATTATTCATTGGCCGTGTTCACCTGTTGCGCTACAGACATGAAACGAACTCCCAAAAAACGGAAAAATCTTACCAAAATCTTACTTTTGAACAATAAGTGTTGACCTGAATTCATGCCCTTTTCGTGTGTGTCAAAAACTTTCAAATATTCCGACCCAAAGCATGAAAATTCTGCCTAATTTTCACGGGCGGGTGTGGTTTATTATTATAATATATTCGGCCATTGTTCAAATCCGAATTCTTTTCATGAAAAAGAATGAAAGTTTGCTCAAAGTTTTCGAGGTTTTTTCGTCCTTCAAGAACGCACAGAATAAAACAGAATACGAATGTTTACTTTGCCACAGGAGCGAGCTGCAAATGTTGGCAACTAACTTGACAGTAATTTAAAAGCGAAAGTTTAACTATTTTACTTTCAAAAATCTGCATATAAGTTTATTCTTGAATCAAATAATTTGAGTACTAAGAAGACGTCTTTATATATTATCTATAAATCGCTTTCTGTTTCAGAATAGAACGATAGTTTGGCTTTACAAAATTGGCAAATGTCGCTATTATTGCCCATCAGAACAATATTATTCGGTATGATAGAATTGAATGTTAATTGTCAGCATGAGAGAATATAACTTGAATGAAAGTGAATATATTTCGTTCAGAACTTGATCTATTTCTGCTATAAAAAGTCAGGCCACTTCCTATAATCGCCCTTCACCGACAAAATATAAGTACTTCCTTACAAGCGTTGAAAGGAACCCGAAACTTTTGTGTGGCGGGAATTTCAACGTAGCTAATGGCGGCCATAAGCATTCGAGTAGAACGTATTAAAAACCCACGCATATTCACAAAGAATTTAACTTTATCATTGTGAACACAGAATTTACAATTATGGGAATCAATGCTCGAATGAATATCTTACACAAATAGATACGAATAGCGAATCTATTTCAGTTTCAAAGTTAAAAAAATATTGTTCGAAAAATTAGCGAACCGTTTCCTTGCGGACATATGAAGGCCAAATGTCAACATTGTACCGAATCAAATTTCAAACTTGTATTTTACGGCAAAACTTTGCTTTGCGTCAAAATATTTCTTATCTCAGATTATTTCAAGCCTTTTGCGAACGACTGAACCTATGAGAATGCTTTACGAACTATAAACACCCCCATTATTTCAGAACAAATTATTTGCCTCATTGAACTGCACTTGGCAAAATGACAATATAAATTTTGTAAAGAAAAATTTTCGGCCTGTCTATAAAATAATTCACCATACCTTCCATCCGTCAGGGGCCGTTTTAAAATACGGAAAATTCGATCTAAAATTAAGAAAGAGGCCATAAATTAGCAAACGAAGCGTACGGGGTGAAAATGTCACAAAATATAATGAAATATAACGGGGAACATACTGCATGAATTTGTATATCTCGCTGACAGGCAATGTCCCCGCATCGCTGTCTTGCAAAGCCATTGCTATTAGACAAGAGTAGCTAAATACTGGCTTAGGATAAGTCTTTTCTTTGTGATTCTTGTCATCCTTGGCAGATATGGGGATGTTGGTTTTTTTAGGCTTGTCAATAGCTCGTCTCTGGACTAAATGTTGTGGATGTATTGGCTGTACTTGTACTGGATTTTGATGTCCCCAGCCGTTCATATTATTCTGCACCGGCATTGCCGTGTTAGGATCGACCATAACGTTAACGCTGTGCTGGCTCATTGCGGGATTTTGGTCAACAGGAATGGCTACGTTCATATTTTGTAGCCACTGAAGATTCGTCAGGTCCGCGGGTAAACTGCCGTGAAATTTATCCGATTTTACTAGCTGTTGATGGAAGGCTGCATCTGTATATTGACCGACTTCAAACGATGGATCGTTGTAATTTATATCTAATTCTTTAATGTCACAATCTACGAGATCGTGAATCGATATGTCGCCGCCGTGCTGGAAAGGATGCGTGTAATTTTGATAGATGTCCATTTTTAAATTTCACTCTGGTCCACTGTCAAACCTTTCCTTCGAGAATTCACGTTTTTAAAAATATCCCACGAACGATGAATCAGTTTCCCCGTAATTAACGAACTTGAATTAAATACTCGACGCTGATTGGTCGCCGTGGTCGCAAGCTGTGAGCCTATTGGATAACGTCCAAAACAAGTTGTCAAGGTTATATCCATAAAAGGTCATGTTACTACTTTTTGCCCTTAGCTCATCCCTGCGGTCTCTGAACGATGTGAATAACCCGGAACCACATAAATTCATACGGTGCTAAAAAGTGCAAGGGATTTCAGAATATTTTCACAGGGAAAAATAGGTATTCTCTTTATTGAATATGAACCTTGTCGATTCTCCCAAGGGGATTTAGTATCGATAATTTCCTTTGTCCGCTATGCAAATGTATATCAATATTTCATAAAATGACCGAAACATTAGCCCCACCCAACGGCATGGATTTGCATAAGAATTGCAGGCTATTGAGCCGTATTTGGCTGCTTGCCTAAATTGAAAGACATCGGCGATGCAGGTGTCCTTAAATCTATATATATTTCTTCTTTTAAACTTCACAAGTGATTTCCGTTCGAATTTCGAAAGGCAAGGAATATATGATTTATAGTTTTAATATCACCAACGAGAAATTGAATGAATGTAGAGCTTGATTTAAAAAATTATCCGGAATATAGAGAGCTGTACGTATTGATATAAAACGTCAGAAAGCACATAATATTTGTAGCGGGCCGGGTTTTCCCTAAGCCAAGGTGTCATCAGAATGAACTTGACATTTTTGACACCCGGCAGGAAAATTATATCATTGACAATTTTGAGCATGTTCAAAAACTTCTTTATCTGAATTGTTTATGGATATTTCGGAAGATATATGGACCGCATTTATGAATATTCCACAATATTAATTTTAAATAATTACATATATTGAATTTTGCTGATAAAAACCGCGACAAGATACGTCTGAAATATTACACGGTTTCGCAAGAAAAATACGCCTACTCTCGCTATTTTGTGATAAAATTGTGTTGCCTATAGCAAAAATAATTATTGTTTAAAAAGCAAGGCGGTATTTCAAAGGCAAGCAAATTTCTACAACCAGTTTCTGACTCACAATATTCAACAGGTTGCAGCCGCCTGGCAGCTGGTGATAGCACAAAGAACTTAATTTATTGGCAGTGTAAAATAAATTGTTTTGGATATTTTGGTTTTAAACCACTAAAAACCAAAAATAGACCATACAAGGTTTAATTCTTGAAAAGATCAGGGGTTTTACGACGCGACAAAACGCTTCGGCGCGGAAATGTTGCACTAGGAACAAACGGTAAACTTTTATCTTTTTCGGGACAGGTGACCTTTTCAAAATATGAATTACAAATTTCCATCCGCAGAACAAACAAGAAGTAATTGTGAAACAAATTGTCCACTATTTCAGTTGATGAGTTGCACTAATTGTTCCTTTCTTACATAAGAGGTCTCACAGTGACAGCCAAAAAGAGCAATGCAGATTAATAAAATGTCTTTGTAAGCCATGGGAAACAATGTTGGAAAATTTTAACGGTTAATAAAGGCTATATCAGTTTTCACAATCAGTATTTTAGACAGATTTACTGACGGACTATTTGTCAATTGTCAATGTTGCCAGTACTTTTTAAATGGAAAGTTGTAATAAAAGATAGTTCAAAGGGGGTCCAAAAAAACCTACAGCAATTGAACTACTGTATGCCTATGATGTGGCACAATTTTATAGTGCTTGTGAATACAGAATGTTGCAAACCAAAAACTAGTGACTGTGTGACATGACTTGACATGATCATGAAATATAACCATGGCCAACCCAGTAGCCTGTGTGGCAGGCGGGGTTTTTACGGGCAGCGAAAATTAGGGAGAAAAAACCGCCTGCACGCAGGTAGCCTGCGAACAGGCTCACTGGGAGAAAGGTGAGCCTGCACGGAACCATGCGTTTTATTCATTCATCCCCTTTTCGCATCTGCTAAACGCTAACCAATCAGCGTCGACTGCGATAAATAAACTGTCAACTGTCAAATTGACGCAAGGCGTGTACATTGTGCAACATGAACAATAATACAAAACATTAGCGCCGTACAATATATTACTCGGAAAGGCATAGAATTCAAATATTAAATAGATATCAATACACATACAAATATAAAGCCGAATAAAATACTACCATTGGCTTTGAATGTACAGTAATACTTGTACTATGTGCGACTGAAAGAACAATGTTCTGAATATTTTGAAGCTATTACTAAAATACGGTCAGATAGATTGGGGTTTGGAATACCGAATACGTTTAAAATTTTACTAACTGTGGTCTAAATAAATGATAAATGAGCATGTATTTATTAATTTCTTCGAAATCACGAGTGTGCCAATAGTGGAAGCCGTATCGACGACGAAATTGTCAGTAATATACAGTAATATACAGTAAACAGTACAACGTTTAATGTACGATATATATTTATCTAAATGACATGCCAGCGAGGATCGACAATATAATTATTCGTACATATTTGGGTATCTTTTGTATGCCTTCGCTTGCTGACTTGCTCACTAATGAGAATAATCCGTGAAGCCACGACGACCTCAAACTGTACTATACTATAGTCTGATGTCAATCCGAAGACGAAGTTCAGAATACTGTTATAGTTTCGTATATTGGATTTAAGCGATAGATTCAAGTCATTTATGATAGACTTTTTGCTGTGATGCTTTGCTATTGCTTTTGGTTTCCATTTCTAGTTTTATTTTTTCGATAATCTTATAATATATAATATTAAAATGAATAAAGTTCATATTCTTCAAAATGCTGTTGTTGACATTTGCTATTTTTAGTAATTTTGTCAACGAGTGTAAGCCAATCAGAAGCCTGCGTTTCTATACGAACGCCACTACCAAGAAAACCTATCATCCGTGCAGGCCCTCTATTCTTCGCGCCGCCCGCAACCCAGGGCCTGTTCGCAGGCTAGTATAAAACACGCGTGGGCTTCCCGAGAGCTGAAAAATGACAAAAATTTTCCGATCGATGCTTCGCACGTACTATATAAACGCTAGTTTAATGGTAAATGCCCTGTACTTAAAAGATAAAAAATGAAATGAAAAGGTAGCTACGACTGATCTGCAACTGCTGTCCATATTTCTCTGTGTTTAGTTCAAATCCCTCATAGATAGTCAGGAAAATCAAACCTTTTTGCTTATTCTGAAAGACCACGTATACTTGCTCGAGGGTTTTGATTGATTGACACCTTTATTTAAACAGGGTAGTCCAATCAGTAGTAAAAACTACTGCTATCAACTGGAGCACTGCTATTTTAAAAAATACAATCTTTACATGCTATAAGACAATTAGGTATTAAAACAATATACTATATATATACTAGAGAATAAAACTATTTTCGCTTAGGGAAGCCTCACATATCGATATTTTCCACGAGAAACGTCATAAAAAAGAAAACAATTTGATACAAACAGCAGTCTATATATTCGTAATACCATACCTGTTCTATACCTAACATTTACTTATTACGCCTTCTTTTCATTTGAAAACACTCAAATTTCGGGAAATACGCGCTAAAATTATCAATATTTTATGCAAAAAAAGTTGTTTTGAGAAACGTTGGAAATTTTGAAGTTCACATATATGTTAATAAAAAAAGAGTATGTCAGCAGAAGATGACATATTCCTCGCGGAAGCATAGCCAATAGCCGACCGAAAAAAATAGTAGAAAATTACCTTATGTGTACTATAAGAACAAAATATCGATAACTATGTGTGACGTTTCTAAGGGGGGGTGGGGGGGTCTCCAGAGAAACGAACATATGACGTTTCTCATGGACAAAATCGATATGTGAGGCTTCCCTTATTATTATATACAACACAACCGTTGTAATAAAAGAATTTCTTTGCCTATTCAGTTCGTACTCGAGGCAAATGCAGTTTATGACTCTGCCTAGTCACTCTACTATGTACCGAGCTGTTAAAAGTAAAATAATTTTTAAAAAGTTGCGGACAACGTCCCTGAATAGCCTCCTCCGCAGGCAACTCTTGTTTCCCACTCCCAAATCCCAAATATATACCGACCTTTCAACCAGAAAGAGACAATATTTTTATCCAATTTGGAATTTGTATGACTACATTAGGAAACATAAGGGGACATTGCGATACAAATGTTGTTTTATGGGGTGGTTAATGCGGGCGGGTAGTTGCCAAGCCCTTATACTGTTTCTTATTACTTTCTTTCTGCTCGGCCAAACTTTCGATATGGATTGAAAATTTGAAAGCGTGGAATAAATTCAATTCTTTTCTGGTAGAAAAGTCGGTATATATTTGGGATTTGGGAGTGGGAAACAAGAGTTGCCTGCGGAGGAGGCTAGTCCCTGAATACATTTATTGACTATAAATTTAGAACCTTTGGGACAAAGAATAGTGATCTCATAACACACTATACCACATGCTTTCCTGCCAGTGTAGCCTGTAGGTAAAGTGCCTATAATATATAACAAAACTTTCGTTGACAGGGCTGCAACTACCGGACTAATACAAGGCGAGACTTTTTTTATTTATTGGTTTACGGATTTGACTTTAAAAATAAGAGGTCGGTAGGTTAATTTCAAAAAAACGCAAAAAAGTGGCTAATCTCCATATTGATTGTCACAACGATAACATGAGCCAGCAGTACTTAGAGTCAAAGTTTACTTGAAGTGTACTTGATGTCAGAACCCCAAATTAATTAAAATTAACTAAAATTGTAAAATTTTTGACATCCAAATTTATTTTTTTTATTTTTCACTTTTGAATATTTACGGTCGGCGGATCCGTAAACCAATGAATAGAAAAAGTCTCGCCCAAGTAGAAATTCGACGTTTCGAGCGAAGACCGTTCTTTGGGAAGTTAGAAGGAGTTTTAGCTTGACGTTTACGACAAACGTCAAACCGCTAACGAAGTTTTCGATTTTACAACTCTATTTTAACAGCTTTTACACCAATTTTGAAATATAAACAATTATTAAACTTGTGCTCTTTAGCAATAATTTAAAAGAAAGCAAATTAACCACTAGTCACGTATTCACCAGAGCAGTAAATTAAGATTATTTGATATATTTCAAAGCTGGTGTAAAAGCTGTTATAATAGAATTGTAAAATCAAAAACTTTGTTAGAGGTTTGACGTTTGCCGTAAATGTCAAGCTAAAACTCTCTATTATTAATTTTCTCGAAACGTCAAATTTCTCCTTGAATTTTTCTGGTAGTTGCATTCGTACCAACGAAACGTTTTGTTACATATATTCCAATCAAAAATGAAGCCAATTCGACAACGAGTCAGAGTCGTCCCCAGTCGCTTTTAAATATAAACACTTGTAGATCATATACTATATTATTTGATAATTCCTCTTTATTAATAGCATTTCCTTTTTTGTATTCATGAATATTCAGGCCATTCTCAGGCGGCTGAAGACAAGAGCGGGCGCGCGGGATCAGGCCAGAAGTGGGTCGTAGCCTTTGGTACTGATCTATATATATATATATATATATATATATATATATATATATATATATATATATATATATATATATATATATATATATATATATATATGAAATGAAATCTGTTCTTCCCACAATGAAATCTGTTCCGCTGCCCCTGGTACTAAGTAAATCAGTGACTCACTTATGAACTTTATTAAGGATTACACAAATTACTGGTGAACCAGTATTTTACATTGTGTGGTCCAAAAAAAAAAGTTTAAAATATAATATCTAGCTACATATGTCGATTAGAATGTCTGTGTGACTCACTTACTCAATAGCAGAAAACAACCTCGAGCCGGAAAGGGTGAAGATGCAGACTACCAGGAATTTTTAGACAACTCTCGCGAATTTATTTACATTATGAAATATAAACAACAATTTCAAAATCGTGTATTGAATATTGACACACCCCTGAAGGGGCTTTTCAGTGACAAAATTACAACATATAAATTACTACATTATATTATTACATTGAATCCTAAATAATTATTTAATATGTTAAAACAAATTAAAATTACGAACGTGCAATAACAGCAACAACCCTAGGCCTGACAACAACTCGACAGCTACACCAAGAGCCTGTTCACAGGTTACACCATTATGTGTTATCATGGCACATTTTTACTGTTTATCACTGCGCACTTCAACTTTAGCAAATTAGTTATAACGTACTAAAACCAAGCATGACCCTTACAGTGTCCTTTAGATCATATTTCGTTTAGTTACGATTACCAGCAGGGACCGAAAATTGCGCAACAAAAAATGCTTACCATGAAAATGACGATTATCACCGAAACACCAACAATAAGAGCGATCTCCCAGGCTTTAAGTGGGCGGCCCCCTCGTCCTAACCCACTTCCAGAATTACCACCACCGCCCCCTATCGCTCCCCCTCTCCCTCTCGCTCCCCCTCTCCCTCCGGTTCCGCCTCTTCCTGGTGCCCCACCCCTACCCCCGCGGGCAGCTTTGACGGGCACACATTGAGAACTGTCAACACAGTGTCCATCAATACAGCATTCACTGAGACATTGGACAGTCAAACAGCCTGATGGATGTAAACGAGTGGGTGAAGTGTTTCTTGTCACCTTGACTCGATCTTCTCTATTCGTCGTCTTCGCTTCTGTCGGAAGTCTTGGTTCATCTGCAGTTACGAAGTTTGTAGTTGAACGCTTATTCGACGTGGGTTGAACTGAATTGTGAACACGGCTCGAACCCGTCAAAGAAAGCCTATAGAACGGTTATTATATGAATAATTACTCGAGAACTTTACTTATACTGGATAATGTACAGCCTTTAGTACTAGGCAAACGTTGCCTGTAAAAGTTTAAGCCTGAAGACTTGTTTACTCGCCTATCATACGACACATGTGTTGTTAACAGCTAAGCTGCAATTCTGGAACCAGGGGCCGGTTGTATAAAAAAGTGATTAAAGTTCATGGTTAAGTGCAAACGTCATCCAATAAGAAGCGCCTATTTGAGAGTTAATCACTATTTAACTACAAAATAATGATTTAAAAAAGAGTTTTATACAACCGACCCCAGGACTTTTGGCCTACAATGAACTAACCATAATAATCTTTGGAATAATGGCCAAAATGTGCAAAATATAGGCAAAACGTTGTGTACTCTCACGTACTCTCAAATACGAGTCACTATATAAAAGGTTTACATGAAATAGCGCGTCATTATAGGCCGCGCAAAGGGATGGGATCACTGGATGGGAGGATATGAAACTGCGCTTGTTCGTCACGATGCACTACTTTATGTAAACCTTTTATATAGTGACTCGTATGTGAAATCAACAACGTGATTTGTGCACTCTCTCGTATAAAGAAAATGCCTTCTTTGAAGATTCCGATTGTTATCAGTGGCTTAAGCCTGGTTCACATATGCCTGCGGTATGCCTGCGACTGTAACATTATGCCTCTACTTGCCGCCGAAATACCGGCAAAGTTGAACTCAAGTCAACTTTCCCGGCCTACCGCCGATGTAACTGTAGCACTGGAGGCAATCGGCGAACAAATATTCACATAATTTACGTTTTAAGCTATCACCGGTATCGTCGCCGGTACGTCGCAAGCACGTCGCAGGCATATATGTGAACCAGGCTTTAGGGAAGTCCAATGGTCCTGCTACAATGGAATTTGATATATTTGTGTGACTGTTATTGACAGGACATGTCCTTGAAATTGCTTTTCAAAGATATATATATATATATAAGGGGATGGGGTAACGGAATATTTTTTCTTTAGTATTTAATCTCTGGTATTTAATATTCTGTATATATATTCATCTCTCATGTATGGCAGGGGTTATCAGAATACCAATATACTCGATAATACTGACTCAATATACCAGTGTACCCATATTCCAGTAGTGATTTCTTTCGCTCGAATCGACTTCATTCTTTTGTCCAAAACTAATTATAGTTCCAAATGGTTCCAGCTGAAAGCTCAAGGACAAAAGCAAATTGAGTCGCTTCGCACCAAATAATTCGCTAGTGAAAACCGGCTTAATCATACTTAATTACTTAATCTTAGGTAAATATGGGATATTTATGCCCCTAAGGGGAAAATACTGTATACCAAAAGTAAAATAATCTAAATTATCATTATACGTGAAACCCCTGATCAGACCTGATTGATATTCTCGTCAGAAAAAATTCTATTCTGACCAGAACTAATATTATTATCAGAGATATTGTGACTATTGTCTTCCTGCTCGAAATCTATTAACAGCCAAACATTTACAAACCTTTTCAAAAGACAACTGCTACATGTTGAGTTTACACAGCAGTCGCCATCACAATGTACATCAAGTTCACATGATAACCCCAAACATCTCTCACGACAGAGCACATCACCCGCAGGTATGGTACAACATCTTAACTCACAGTTCTGACCAGATTTACATTCTTTTGTACTGGCGGCCAGTAACACGCAACTGTGTAAAACAATCAGCAATTTGAACAACATGGCTTTAAAAAAGTTTCACCACAAATGATTGACCATAATTCAGCGAGTGCGTGGTTATTTATCGAAAATACGTTGACACGATAACAAAGAGCTAACTGGGTGGTCTGAAGCAATTATCGCTGAAGGGCTAATATAACATTCTTTGTTATATTTCTTAGTAAAGGCTGAAAGATGCGGAAAAATCCAAACATGGCATGATAATTATTATTAGAGAATAGAGAGCTTTAGTTTCACGCCAGACCGCAAGCAACTAACTTCAAATGCCGGCATTGAAAGTAAGTTCTTTAAATTTACCGCCACAACTAAGTAGTAATTCGACAGTTGACCTCAAAATACGACATGGAGTTAACTTAGCCGTTTGCAGTTTGCCGTAAACGTCAGTTTAAGGACTCTATATTGGATACTGCTGACTGCTGGGGTTTATCTCTAAACAACCTTGTTGTGCTTTGAAAGGATAACTAGCTGTTATGCACTATGTTGCACTAGGAACAAGTGAACAACTAGAAACAGTGAATAATTGGTGAAAACTATAGTTTTAGGGGGTTGAATAGGAGTATACAAATCCGCCGATCCGCCCAAATTTGAAGCAGTATCCGCGAACCGACAATGGTCTTGTCTAAATTTGAATCCGTTAAAAGCTCTACTATGAAGTCACAATCCAGGATCTAAACTAAATTGCAATTGCAAGCTAAATCCACAACCCGAGCCAAAATATTAGATAAATCCGAAAACCTGCAACCCCCTATAAACGAAGCCCATTCTGAGCTGAAGAAAAATGAGGGCTGACAGCCTCACAGCAATTTTTAGATGTAGTGTTATATTTAAATCTAATTTAATCAATATAAATACCAGTTTCGATATACATGCATGCATATATAAATAACTATTTGCTTGGCCCTTGCCAGTAAAATATATGTTCAAAAAGTAAAAATGCTTATAGTCTTAGAGTTAGGCTACGTTCTTTTTTTGCAATAGAACCAAGAACGGCCAAATAAAATAATATGGATGTAAAATGCTTAGTTTTAGATTTACATTCTTTTGTTCCAATAGAACCATTTGCTGAAATCTACCGATTTGGTTTTGCCAAAAAACGGCTGGCCCATAAATTACAGTAAGCCTCTTTTCCATTCGTTTATTTATTTAATTTATTTATTTAATTCGTCTTGTACATATTAAATAGTAATATCTTTTAATAACATTTTCATGGTGGGCCGCCTGTCAGTGAAAAAATCAGTAAAGATGATTTCCACTCCGTTCTGCGCATCAGTTCTGCTCATAACAAAGAGGGACCCCCAGATATATGAACATTGCCCAAATTTTGCATCTTTTGAACTTTTTGAATTGAAACGTAGAGTTTATATCCATTTACAAGCATAGCGAACCAGAAAAGTGTTAGATATTCAGTTAGTATATCATCTTTTCCAAATATAGCAGTTCAAAACGTAAACAAAGTTCGCGCATGGGCACAGGAGTGGACATCATCTTTACTATTTTCACGCATTCAACGAGACCTTTCTTATTAATTATTGACGTCAAACGCGGAAAATACTTAATTAATGCAGGGCGTAGTAAAACACGGGCGGTGAAACGCGCTAATATTTGCCTGATCCATGTGTGATGCACGGGAGACTGGCGCGAGCGTGCGAAATACGCGGATGAAGCGGGATTTTTAAAGATGAAGCGAAGCAAAAACAAGAGACAAAAATATTTAAAGGGCAATCAAAAAGTGCAAATTTTTAAGGTAAATTTATCCTTAAAATGGAAAAAAATTAACTTGTTATAAAATAGAGACTCTGGCAATTAATTAGTATTGCATATTACATCGCTGGAGTTGGAAAAGCATTTTTAAAATGTGAAATTATTTGAAGGCATAGCGATTTTATCATAAAATATATTTACATTTTTCAGGCAATGACAAATTGTAGTCGAGTTTTTTAGCCAGACCGAGTGGAAAAAAAGTTAACTTCAACCCTTTAAATTATCTATAATTAGTTATACTTTCGATCTGAAAAGGTTAGAAAATGGGCTTTTGTGGGCTTTTTTTTCAATTTAAAGATTTATGACCAGGTCACTTGCGTAATTTACAATGACACAACTTGTGACCTTGTTTTGATAAAGTTAGAAAACAATTGTCAAATATTTAGAAAGCATTGGAAACATTTTCATTAACATATTCAGGCATTCAAATGCAATATAAAAGTTAGGGAAAATATTCAATTATAAGGAACAAGCAGAAAATTCCGTTTTTACCATGTTAAAGGTTGTTTTATTTCTCTTTTCGAACTTACAATATGCAACTGAAATGTCCGCCAAAAGACTCCAAATTGCATGTTCACAGCGATGTCGCAGTTTTACAAGCGCGGAAAATTTTTGACCTTTAAATATTTCATGCACAGTATATGAAAACTAGCTTTATTTTGATGTTTTTGGATAATTTAAGTACCTAATTTTCTAAAAATCACCAAATGATAATGGGCTTTTTTAATTTTTAAACATTTTTTTGGCTTATTTTTGACATGTACATGCCAAGTCTACACAATGCCATATCGAATGCAAGCAAGCGATGTAGTTTGTTGTCGCAGTTTTACAAGCGCGGAAACTTTTTAACTTTTAAATATTTCATGCACAATATATGAAAACTAGCTTTATTTTGATGTTTTTGGATAATTTAAGTACGTAATTTTCTGAAAATCATCAAATGATAATGGGCTTTTTTAATTTTTAAACATTTTTTTGCCCTTATTTTTGACATGTGCATGCCAAATCTACACAATCCATAACGAATGCAAGCAAGCGATGGCATATTGTAAACACTGGACTGGACTTTGGACTGGACTTTGGACTATGGACTATGGACTATGGACTATGGACTTTGGACTTTGGACTATGGACTTTGGACTTTGGAACCAGGCGGGAATCGTAATCGGCATATTGTAAACACTGGACTGGACTTTGGACTGGACTTTGGACTTTGGACTATGGACTATGGACTGGACTTTGGACTATGGACTATGGACTATGGACTTTGGACTTTGGACTTTGGACTTTCGATTTAGAAATTGTATTATTTTTTAGATTTTCGTATAATTATATTAAAATTTAAACAGATAACGAAAATTTGCTGCTGAAAAGCGTGCTACACTGCATGCACATGCAAGATATAATATACAAGGTAAAAAATACTCAGTATCAGTTATATAGGTATACCAGCAGTGCAATTTCATACGGATATAGCCTGTAGGATAGCAGGATTATCTAATATTTTGGGATTTAATATTTAAATTTTATATAATATTTGTATTTATAGTATGTATAGTACAGTTTATACTGCAGAACTTCTTCTTTATCGTATAGATAATAGATTTATAGAAACAATTGTGACAAAAGTATCTTGCCAAATACAAAATATTGAGAAACTATCACGTATAAGTATAAACTACACGCGATTATTATTGCGCCTTTGGCTTTGAACAATTATTCGCCCAAGGCGAGGCCGTGATTATCCGGGAATTTGTAGTCTCCCTCGCAGCCATCAGTTGTGTACGTTCTCTCTGATGTCTGCGAAGGAGGCTGGGGAATTTGTCAAATTTGACCAATCAACTTGACAACTTGTAGGATTTGTTGTACTATTTATTCACTTGCGCAAAAATACTAATGACGGTATTGTTCATCTTTGCATAATAGTTTACACCGGTTTAGCGCCTGCCTAAATAGGCTGTGTTTACAATGTATTTTGTCTGTGTCAGTTTTAGCTTTTCATAAATGTATTCAGCCAGAGTGAACACGAAAACTCTCATAGTCATCATACTTTATAAAATACGAATGTATGATACATTATT